GCCGGAAGTGGGACAGGTAGGTCGCTAGGCCGAATGTGTAGATGAACAGGAGGGCCTCCAGCGCGAGCGATTGAGTGCTGCAAGCGGTCATTTATATCAATCGCATGGAAAGACAGCTCGGCAAGAGCACACACAACGAAACAATCAAGAAGGTCCAAAAACGAAACTTCCCTGAGCATGAACACCATAGGCCTCTACACAAAAGTGTGATACGGGTTGCGACGACGCCTCGAACATAGCACTGGTCAGCGTCATCTTGTTCTCCGTGAAATTCTCGATGATGGGCCTGCCGTAAGGCTGTAAGGTGTGCCATGGTGCGCATGCTTGCATGTTGGAAGTGCTTGTCAACTTAGAACCCCAAACCCCCGGCAAAAACAGTGCCAGAGGATTTGTAAACAGCGTTCGCATCTCACGCTAAAGCTGACGAGGAAAATAGACACGGCCGAGGTATCAAAAAGCACACGGCGTGTGAACAAAAGCCGAAAAGCCTATTATCAAAATCTCAGTCTGCTCCTGTTTCCTCACGAAACGGAGATTTTCAACCTAGAAGACTTAAATCTAACACTTCGGCAGTTTATGGCCACATGCCTAGCTAATCCAGGCTAAGTAGGTACTGTTTCGCAAGGATGTAGTTTCCCAAAAAAGGGGGACCCCCATATGGACCCCAAACTACTATAATCCTTCCTATAGGGACCCAGAAATTGGGAAACCTCCAGGAATCCTTTTAGAATCTAGCGCGGGGGTGCGGGTTGAGAGCCGCTGATGAGGATAGCTTGCTACTTTCAATACTGCCATCGACACAGTTTAGGGTTCAGAATTTTTTGGGGTTTTGGGTTTGGTGTCTAGGGGTTTAGGGTTTAGGGCGCATGAGAAAAGGTAAAAGTTTCCCCATACACTGACAGGACATGGGTTACTTATGCAGGAATGTATTAGGGACTATACTATACTAAGAGAGCCACCTCTATGTCCACTGTTGAGGGTCCATTAGTAAGGCTAGTGCTGACAGTGGTTCATATGAGCCCGCCTCACTCCATCGATGATGAAGATAAGGGAGATCAAGCCAGCGAAGATATCCTCGCAACTGCCACACTTTACCAAACCCTAGACCCTATACCCTGTACATACACATATATGTACATATTCACCTATAGTCCTAAATACATATTATGTTGACACGCTAGTTCCCAGGACTACTCATAAACCCGACATGTCCTCGCTGAACATGGTCACGTGCTTCATCAAGGCGCACAGGTCAGTGACCGCCACCAGGATAGTGAAGAACGAGCACCACATGCAAGTCCAGAAGTAAAACGGCATAAATTCTAGGTCCGCCCCAACAGACAAATCGTAGACCACCAGCGTGTAAGCCAAGAAGGGGCCTGTGGCTCCCAAAATGGACAACGGCTGCCCGGCAAAGGTGGAGAAGAGCACGCCTGAAATTGCTGTGCTACAAATCATCTCGAGCACTCCAAATTGGCCGTTGGTGCCATCCAAGAACCTACTCCCGAAAGTGATGGCAGGCGCCAAGGCGGCAATGAACAAGTACAAAATGGACGACACGGACTTCTGGAAGTTCTCGGCCTTGAAGGCGTCCGTCCAGTCGCTCACGTACAACGGCAGCCGCCGCCGCAAATCCAACCTCAGCCCGCCCCCTATCTTGCCGGTGAACTCGAGGGGCCCAAAATCCTTCTTGCCCGTGTGGGTGATGTAGCCTGAGAGGCCCATGGACAAACAGATGTGGACAATCTCAAATCGCTCAAAATATCTAGCGCAGACCTGTTGAATCCCATTTTACTTGGACCACCATCTGCGGCCTGGGGTATGGAACCACCCATTTAAAAGCAACCACCATGTTTTGAGAGGAATCCCATGTCTAGAACCATGCGCTTTTGGCCGCCCATGCAGCACCACCTAGTGCTCCCGAACAAGTTAAATCCAAGTGGCCGGACTCGTTGCGGATGACTCCCTCGGCCTCAGTCATGGCTCCTCGGACCTGATTTCTGGAACTTGTGCTGAGCGTCTCGAGCCTCTGCGTGCCCTGCGGCGAAAAGCTTGCACCATCTCGTCATGATGCTGGATGCTGAGCCTGACCGAACACGATCTTCTTTCCTATCAGGATGCCCTGACACCAAAGGAAGGTGCGGAACAAACGGCCCTGGACTTGTAAGGCCTTCAACTCAAGCAAAACCCTGCTGAATTCTGCGCCTTCTATAGAATCGAAACGCAGGACCTCTTCCTGGGGTTCCGCGCAGTCTCCACCAATGACAACACAACCCTCTTTTGGAGACTGCCCCCACCCAAAGAAATACCTGAGACCCAGCAATCCTCAAGAGTAGGATTCCCATGTGAGCTATCGTCTAACTCCTCAACGGGACTTGTATAGCGGACTATACAGGGGACTACTATAGGGGTTATTACGGGGGATACTAGGAGTTTTAGGGGGCAGGCCATGGATGGGTTTTAACATCTAGGGTCCCTTTGCTGGGGATTTCCTATAATGAGCGTTAAACCCCCAAACCCTAAACCCCTAAACCCTAAACCCTAAACCCCTAAACCCTAAACGCCTAATCCCCTAAACCCGAGCTGTGGCAGAAATACGAAGGAGCTTTGGATGCCTTCAGCAAGCGCTGGAAGCGAAGCTTGGATGGGTCGGTCCTAGCCAGGCAACCCGGGCCCCCTTGAAGGAGCTAAGGGTTTAGGGGTTTAGGGTTGAAGGCTTAGGGTTTAGGGTTGAGGGCTTAGGGTGTAGGGTCTAGGGTTTTTTTTGCAGGGTTAGGGTTGAGGATTTAGGGTGTAGGGTTGAGGGCTTAGGGCATAGAGCCTAGCGTTCAGGGTTGAGGGTTGAGGGCCCAAAAATAACCCCATAGATGGTAATAGGCACTGATGTATGGTGCACAAACACATATACATATATAGATTACATGGGGCAAAATAGCATATATATGGGGGAACTTAAGGGGGAGTCTCCATTTCTTGGATGTTTAGGGGATCTGGCAACGCCAACTCCTCCCCGATCATCACGTCTCACTCACCATGGAATAGGATTCCATCTAAACCCTGAACCGCACAGATCTGCCTCTCTGAAGACATTTGCTCAAATTGAGCAAGGCAACGGTCTACCTTGCCAGACAGACTGTTCAGGGTTTAGTGCTTGAGGTTTAGGGACTGTCAGCGTTTTGCCTCTATTCTGAAGAGTTTTGAAGGCTTCGTGAAGGACACGTAACGGTACAACCTAGGACTCTTGTTGTGAACTGCCCAAAAACGTGAATCTCCGTGTGGCACCGCTGCGGGCCCCTAAAGATCTAGACTTCAACAACCTGACCCATCCCATGAACAAACTTACAGGGCTTGCTCAAGACTAACCATGCGATGCATCTCAACCCTTTCATGATGCCAAAAGGGCAACCGCAATCCAAATTTCAACCTGCTATCCCCAAAAACGTAAACTGCACACACCCGAATCCTGAACTCCGAGCCATACCCAACTTCGCCACTGCTACCCTCCCGGAAACTAACATGGAAACCCAAAAAGGGCCCTATAAAGACTACCCTTTAAAAAGGGGGCTATATGGGTTTCCATGTTAATTTGGGGGAGTGTATCTAAACTCTTGACGCTAAGATCCTCAACAGCCTAGACCTGGACCCCAAGGTCCTTATCCCTAATCCCATCGCATCACGCGGCCCAACCCTTTGGCCCCAAACCAACAACCCTAAGCGCTGAGCCATAGACCCTGAACTCTGAGCCTCGAACCCTGAGTCCTAAACTTATACCCTAAACCCTAATACCCTAAACCCTAAAACCCTAAACCCTACAACCCTAAGCCCTAAACCCTATATAACCCATTATACTAATTTTCCATTTTCTTTTCCATTATCCCTGTATACCCCCCGTATGTACCATATATAACCCCATATATATATATATATCTATATATGTATGAGCTATAGTCTAAACTCCTAGTATCCCCCTTAATAACCCCTGTAATAGTCCCATATAAAATCCCCCATATAAACCCCCTTTAAGGAGTTTAGACTATGGCTCATATGGGGTTCCAGCCTTGTCTCGAATGGAGAGCTCCCTCCGGGGAGCGCGAGTGGCCCGGTAGAGGCCTTTGACGCGGTCGGGCCTTTGCCGCAGGTTTAGGGTTTAGGGTTTAGGGTTTTTTTAGGGTTGCCGCAGGTTTAGGAAGCTCTACAGTCCCCCTTAAGTAGATAGAATATGGCTTTGGGTAGATTATAATAAGATCCCCATATACCCTATATTCTAGCTACTTAAGGAGGACTATACTTTCAGGGGCCAGGAAACTTAGTAAGTAGGTTCATAGCCCCTATAACCGATATAGGAACTTCAGTTATCCCCCTTAACTGACCTACTTAGCAAGGAATCCTACACTATCCCCGCATCATCCAATAATATCGCTATAGCCATTCCCCCATTCAATCATCTACCAAGCACCCGAGAAAAGCACTAAGCTGCCGGCACTCCGACAGTGATAGGCCTTCGCACAAGGGTCCAGAATTTAGGATTACCCTGCCCCAAGCTAACATGGAAGCCCATGTAAGCAGGGATAGCTCTGCAACAGGTACCAAGGCCTTCTAGGGGTTGAGCTCCCTCATTCATGGAAACTCCCATATCGCAATAAGGACGCCCTTCTTCCAAGTCGTTAATTTTATATGAGCCACTGTCTAAACTCCTAGTATCCCCCTTCATAACCACTGTGGTAGTCCCCTATATAATCCCCTATGTAACCCCCCTTTAAGGACTTTAGACTATAGCTCATATGGGTGATCAAAATTCAAAAGGGTAAAGGGCAGTACTGGCCTTGGAAACCATAAGCGCCGCATACTCCAACGACCAAAACAAGCTAGAATCTTAGGCTGGGCGGCCCCCACCCAATAATAGTAGCATATTAAAATTATGTAGGGACTTTACTATGATTACTAGCATCCCTTGCGGTGACTATTTTTGGGTTCGGGGCCCAACCTGACATCAACCCTAAACCCTAAACCAACTTGCAGCTACAAGCCTCGCACTCGGCCCCCCCAAAGAGGGCGCAAGAGGTGAGTGAGCCTGCATGAGGTAAAGACATGCAGGGCTTATGTTTACGCAGGTCCCGTTACAAGTGGGTGTATGTATAAAGGGTACAACAGCATTCAGGATTCAGTGTTTTGGGCTTAATACTTTTCGGCACTTCTGGCTCCTTCTCAAAAGGAACGTCAGAGGCTATGCAGTGCTATCAGGGTACAGGACCCACGGCTCTTGTTTTACGGCCTCCTCAACTGGATATCCAATAAATACACTCACCCATAACTATTCCTCAGGACCCCTACCTGCGGTCCCCAAAAACCGAGAATGAAGCCTTACCTCACATGAGCTATAGTCTAAACTCCTTAAAGAGGGATTATATAGGGGGTTATATAGGGGATTACTAGTAGGGTTATTTAGGGGGATACTAGGAGTTTAGACAATGGCTCACTTCGAAGATAAGGCAAGATTGTGGGGAACAAGGAACAACAACACGCAGTGTCCAGGCAACGATCTCAACTGTCAGCAGAACGCTTGCAAGAATTGGAGGTCCCTTTGGGTGGTCCTGTTATAACTCAGGATTTAAGGATGTAATAAGATGCAAATCTTGTGGAGTGTTATTGGTATCTACTGCAAGGCGACGCCTCAGATTTGAGAATACCAAGCTATCGGAAAAGCTATCAGCCACAGAGGCTGGCTGGGACATAGACAAACAAATCAAGAAACCGAGCAAGGACAAAACGCGAAAGATAGTCAAGCAGTAATGATTTAAGTGTAAAAGGGTAAGAAAGTCACAGCTGAACGGATAGGATATGCGGAAATCATAATCTTCATCTGGCGCGAGCTAAGCAATCCGAATGAATAAGGAACCGAGTTTGGGGCCGCCCGCAGCAAAGCAAAACTGGTTTCCAATTTCCACTATCCTATTAACACCCCAATATACTTTAGTAGTTTTTCCATGTTTCTTTCCAATATTCCATTAGCACCCGAATATACTATAATAAACCGTAAACCCTGAGTAGTAGTTTCTTTCTGTTTTCTTTCCACTCTCCCATTATCAAGCGTCTTGCCTGCAGCCGGCCTTGCCATTTCCAGCGAAGCCTCTGCATGAAGCAGTTTGGGCTTCAAGGGCTCCCATACACAGGAGTGAAGGGATGGGAGTGAAAATGGCATCTACTACCTGATTCGGGATTGCATGATTTGGACTTAGGGGTTGGGGCTTGGGTTTACTTGGGCTTCAGGGCTCAGGTTCAGGGTTCTGAGCTGAAAGCCTAAATCCTAAGCCTTCAAGAAACTCACCTACTCCAAAACAAACCTGTACGTCTGCACGTCTGCGCAAAAAACAATAACAATGTACTACCAGTGGCTATCCAAAGCGTGATCCCATTTTTCAAAGTACCATGCATGCTTTGGGTTGTTTCGTACCAGGGCCCGAAGAAGGTCGCCTACCACGTCGGAGGCTAGTCAATCCCATGACTCCTTGCTCCCTGGCCCTCCAGAAAAAGTGCTTAGGGTTTAGGGTTTAGGGCGCATCAAAAAAAATTCCGCGGCTTTCCTCCGTCGTGACTCAGAAGTACTTGGCCACCATGTTTGCGAACGGCCGAAGAAAGCTGAAAACTACTACGGGCGAGCCCTGACACATGTGGCCCTCGGTCTTTCGCATTCTAAGTACTGTTCTGCTTTTTGAATTTGCGCAAAGCATGCGCACATCGGCGCTCTTCGGCGGCGTCCGCTTGCTCAGGGTGCAAATCATGGAGCAACTTCTCTAGATTGCCAAGAAGGACACCGTACTCTTGTTCGAGCTCTTCTTCGATCCATTCCTGTTGCCACTGGGAGATGGCCGCATCCTGCAGTTGAACTCCGCGCCTTCTCTGTCCATGAGGCCTTGCTGAACCATCGCCATACTCGACATCTCTTGCTGCTGCTTCATGTGGCCAGTCGCAAAGTGCCTGGCT